AAGGGATATCTCTAGTTAAATTATCATGGCTGTGCGAAGCGAAATGATTTTCTAGTACTGATCATGGATACCGGATACCAAGATCCGGCAGGAGAGGTATACTTCATGACAACAGGGCCTCTCAGGTCGTAATTCTGCGAAATCCCTGTGTTAAAAATACAATAAATATTGGTACATGTAACGTCAGAAGCATGTACGAGCCTGGGAAAATTCACAACGTTATACAAGAGATGCAAAGATTAAACATCGATATCCTAGGCATCAGCGATACAAGATGGTCGGGTGCAGGCAACTTCTCGACAAGCAACGGTATGATCTATTTCTCAGGAAATGAATACCCACATCACAGATATGGTGTAGCAATTGTCGTTTCAAGAAGAATGACACAGTCTGTCACTAATTTTTCGCCAGTGTCAGACAGGATCCTGCTCCTACAACTGCATACAAAAACTGCAAAACTTAATATTATACAGGTATATGCCCCTACTGCAGATTAATCAGATGAAGAGATTGAGCAGTTTTATGAACAAATAAATCAAGTTCTAAAGTCTACAAAGCCAAAAGATGTTACACTTATCCTTGGAGACTTCAACTCCAAAATTAGCAAAGGAAAAAGCGGAAAAAATGTGGGAGAATATGGTTTAGGGGCAAGAAACGACAGAGGAGATAAACTTTTAAAGTTCTGTCAAGAGAATGATATGATAATTTCAAATACATTCTTTAAGCTACCCAAACGAAGACTGTACACATGGACGTCCCCTCAACACACTAGGGAAAAAACAATTAAGAATCAGATAGATTATATTTTAATAAATGAGCGATACAGAAACTGTATAAGATCAGTTAAGGCTTATCCAGGCGCAGATGTTTCTTCAGATCATAACCCCCTGATAGCGCGGGTACACATTAGACTCAAAAGACCTTCAAATAAAACAAAAATAGATCACATAGATACCAGCCGCTTACAAGATCCAACAATTAAAGAAGATTTAAAACAACATATCAATGATAACTTACGAATGCTTTCTACAAAGACAGAGAACACGCATGTAGAAGACAAGTGGCAAGATTTAAAAGACGCCATGATAAAACCTGCCCAGAAAATGCTTACCAAAGAGAAACAGAAAAAAGGACGAGAATGGATAACAGAAAAAATTTTAGGTCTCATGGAAGAGCGAAGACAGTTAAAGGGAAAATGCAGCCAAAAATATAATGAAGTAAAACAAACAAATCAGAAAAGAAATAAGAACTGCAAAGGAAAATTTTTATACAAGAAAATGCGAGGAAATCGAAGAACTACATCTCAAACATGACACTTTTAACTTACATAAAAAGATAAAGGAACTGACAGGTACACAAAAACGAAAACATCCCAATCTCCTATGCAACGCAAATGGTGAAATAATAGCCGATCTACAAGAAAAGCTTAGGACCTGGAAGAACTATGTAGAAGAATTGTTCGACGATGAAAGACAAGAACCTAATATAGATAACTTACAAGGCGACGAAGGACCAGAAATAACTAAAGAAGAACTATTATACGCTATAAAAATAATGAAAAATGGTAAATCATCGGGTCCAGACGGGCTCACATCAGAACTTCTTAAGCTTGTGGAAGACGAATCAGTGAATATTCTACTCGACCTTTTTAACTGCATCTACAAAAGAGGAGAAATACGAAAGGAATGGCTACTTTCAACTTTTGTAACCTTACCAAAAAAGGCAAATGTAAAACAGTGCACGGACTACCGCACTATAAGCTTAATGGGGCATACATTAAAAGTATTCATCAAAGTAATCCACTCAAGAATTAACAGAAAACTAGATGCAGATATTAGTAATACTCAATTCGGATTTCGGAACGGGCTTGGAACAAGAGAAGCACTATTTGCACTTAACGTCATATGCCAAAGATGTCTAGATATAAACCAAGATATATATATATATATATATATATATATATATATATATATATATATATATTATATATATATATATATATATATATTATATATAATATATCTATATATAATATATATATATATGCTTCATTGATTACAACAAAGCGTTTGATAAAGTTCGTCACGATCACTTAATGAAACTGCTCATCTTACTCACTTAATTTACTATAACCAGAAAGCAAATATCCGAATAGAGCAAGAGACAACGGAGGAAATCGAGATCAAGAAAGGCGTAAGACAGGGTTGTATACTCTCACCGACCTTATTTAATCTATACTCCGAAGACATTATAAACACAGCACTTTCGGATCAAAATATAGGTATTAAGATAAATGGCATCCGAATAAACAACTTGAGATATGCCGATGACACGGTACTAATCGCAAAAACTTGGGAAGATCTTCAAATACTAATTAACAAAATAGTAGAATGCAGTGAAGAACACGGATTATCACTTAACATAAGCAAAACAAAAATAATGCTAATATCTAAATCACCACAAAACTTCCCTGACATAACCGTGCATGATCAAAGAATCGAACGTGTAAGAAGATATAATTACCTGGGAACTGTTATCAACGAAAATAATGATTGCTCTGAAGAAATCAGAACCAGAATAGAGAAAGCTAGAGCCACATTTACTAAATTGAAAAAGGTGTTCTGCGGAAGAGATCTAAGTCTAAAACTTAAAATTCGCCTTTTGAGATGTTACGTTATGTCAGTTCTCCTCTACGGGATGGAAACATGGACATTGAAAAAGATCGATACCAAGAAGATAGAAGCATTTGAGTTGTGGATGTATCGTAGAATATTAAGAATACCCTGGACAGAGAAGGTAACAAATGTGGAGGTTTTGCGAAGAGTGCGGAAAGAAAAAGAGCTGATACTTACTGTTAAAAAGCGCAAACTACAATATTTGGGACATGTTTTGAGGGGAGATAAATACCAGTTGCTGCAATTGATTATACAGGGAAAGATAATGGGAAAGAGATCTATAGGAAGAAGAAGGCATTCATGGTTGAAAAACTTGAGAGAATGGTACAATTGCACCAATTACCAACTGTTTAGATCTGCAGCATCAAAAATACGCATAGCTTTGATGATAGCCAAACTTCGGAACGAAGACGGCACTTGAAGAAGAAGAAGTGTATCATGTTGCACATTTTTTTGTTCCGGTACTAGTATTTCTCTGAGTGACCACTCTCTCTTAACGTAACGTTAATTTCGTTTTCAAATGCTGACCCAAAAGCATGGTTATTATTTTGAAATCTCCACAAAATTGCCATCAATATTCACTATAATTTCTTTCAGATTCACGGAGTGAGCAACAGGCACTGAGGCACAAGTATTACAATTGTGCAACAATGACACTATTCGGACTTCTATTTAAAAGAATTTAAGAAGAATCATTCAATAAACGCCATGGTATGGAATCGTAATTGTCAGCTCCTAGTTTCATGACTACTTCAGAAATATTATGACAATACACCCATGAGCCCTCTTGGAAAAAATATTCCGCGAACTCTTTTTCACGAGGCCTATACCACAAAAATGTGGTACCTGGAGCCAATAGATTTTTATCTTTCAATCGTGATTCTAAGATTTGTGCAGCATTCTTCGATAGGCCCAAGTCTCTCAGTAAGTCATTTAGTTCAGCTTTAAGGATGGTCTATTTCAGGATTGAATTATTCTTCATCGGTTTTTTTCGTCTGAACTTTCATCTAATGATTGTTGTGTGAAGAAAAGTTGCAGGAATAGAAATTCATGGTTCATGTGATACAGGTCGTTTAGTAGAAGGAAAATCAGGATACTGAATTTTGTGTAAATTTTTTGGAGCAGGAGCAAACGTAGCAATCGGCATGGTTCTTTAGTTCCCTTCATACCATAGGAATGCCGATGGGTAAAGAGTTATCTTTTGTCCATTTTCTCAGTAGTTCGACACACTGAAAGCACACTTTGAGTGGAGCTCAAGGTTTGCCCTGATCACCAAACTTTACAAGCACCAATGAGGTACTTGTTTGCGATAGTATATAATATCTCACAAGGTTTTTTCAATTTTGTGAAAATTTTGACATGATGGACAGTGTTGCCATTCAAATGAAATTAACATAATAATGTATTAAAATATTTTCTATGGATCTAGTACATAATTATCTCACTAGGTTTTTTTTTTACTTTCGTGAAAAATTTTGACGTGATGGGCTTAAACCGAATTCGTATTCAGAATCAGCGTACCCGTAATAGCTAAGGACACATGTCAAACTCAAAACACCAAAATCATGTCGGCCTGTGTAGTCATAGAAAACAACGATTATACTGCAGAAATAAGAGTCAGAATTGAAAAAGATCATCTTCGTGAAAACGAAGAAGATTTTATGCAGCAAAGATCTGACATTGTCCCTCAGAATAAGGCTAATTAAATACTATGTACACAGTGTACTCTACTATGGAGCTGAATCATGGACATTAAAGCGGACAATAAATCGACTTAACACGTTTGAAATGTGCACATTTAGAAGAGTTAAGGAGAATAGGCAGAGAGAGGGAAATAGAAAATACAATAAAAAAAGGAAATTACAATATCTCAGACATATGATGGGAGGCGAAAGATACAAATAAAGGGTGGGAGAAGCGTAGGAAAAAGACGCATTTCCTGATTGAAGAACCTGAGAGAGTGGTTTGGTTGAAGCTCAAGGCAATTGTTCAGAGCAGCTGTCTCAAAAGTCAGAACAGCCATGATGATTGCCAACCTTCGTCGCGGAGATGGCAATTAAAGAAGAAGAAGAAGTGGAACTCTGACGTCGTAAAACTTGAATGATGTGCATTCATTTTTATATGAAACAATATATATCAACCAGTTACCTTATATATTTTTTACTTACGATTTGGGATCTATTATTTTACCACGTCTTTCCATTAATCTTCCGTTATACAATCGTTATTTTAAGACTTGAATATTACCTTATATTTATAACGCATCCACCAGTTATTCTTTATTGTAAGACATAAATAGATCTATACAAGTTTTGTTTTTTATTTAAACCATATATAATACAAAAGGTTGTAAGTTAAAAACTATATTAACGAAAAAATATCGAAGTGTGTTAGTCCTAACAGTTTAAATGGATTTAAGAATAGGTGTAGAGATTTGTTCTGATTTTCTATCGTTTTTCATTTCAATGAATTATGGGAATTATCTGGCTTAGGCTACAATCTTAGCTGGTATTAAAGCACAAATCACGTCTTTGTCATTTTCGTCCTTTAGATGCAGCTCAATATCTACTGTTACCTAAAACAATGATGAATTAGATATAATAATATAAATATTAGATATAATATAAAAATATACAAATCAGTTGTCAACTAAATCTTATCAAGTTTATGCACAAAATGTGTATTTTAAATAAATTCAAAACTTTTTAAAATACGTTAGGCTTTAATAAAATGCGAACAAATAGCTTAACAAATTAGAAACACTGTTAAAATGTTATCAAATACTGGAAAATTTAACTGAAACATTTATCAAATATGACAGATATCGTTTTCATTGAATTTTAGATCTTAGAATCAACCCTAGAGGTTGCAAAATGGATCTATACAATTAGTCCACTTTTTGTCGGATACGCAGAAGTTTAACATTTATTGTTCGCTTTGTTTTATTTCGGCGTTGTATTATTTAATGCACAAGTTGAGCGATATCTCAATCTGCTTCTGAAAATAAGTTCTTTATTTAGGATTCTTTTTCTCTAATTGCTCACCTATATAAGAAAGTCCTCTTTATTCTAGAGACTACAATGATGATTTTTATACTAAAAGGATAGATTATATTCTTAGCTGTATTACCAGTAAAATCATCTAAAAGAAGAAAACTCCAAAATTAAACCGAACGTGTTAAACTGGGAAAGCCACATAACCAATTTACAACGTTCTTGCCAATCCAGAATTAATCTACTAAAAATGCCATCAAATACCTCTTGGGGGCAGATACAACAACCTTACTTACTCTATAAAGATCACTAATACGAAGTAAACTAGACTACGGCTGTTTAGGCTAAGATACTGCTAACAAAATATCTTATAGACGAAATATATTATAGAACAAAGTGTATTCTGCTATAGCACAGTTAAAGGATAGCAAAAAACAATGGCGGCCGGTCAGGGTCGGCAGGGTCGAGATATTATAGATTTTTTTAATATTTAATTTAATCAGTATTTCAATAAATAATTGTGGCAGGTAATCAGTTGATGTTATTTGTTTTTGTGAATAAAAAATATCTGTGGGATAATAAAGACTAAATTTTATTTATGATTTTTAAAAGAATTTGACCAATTTGACCAGACTAAATTTTATTCATGGTTTTTAAAAGAAATTGTCCAATTTGAGCGTTTAAGTGATCCGTGCGTAGACACTTTTCAAATTGATGATCCGATATCTGAGACGTCCATCCGCCTGTGAATTCTTAAAAAGGCACGTTTTGTTTTATCGGCAAGCCGATCCCAACCTTGACGATTTACTTGTAAAAATTAACGGAATATTAGTTGATTAGCAACAAAATATACATTTCTTTCCATATGAATTTAATTACCAAGTACGGCAAATTTAAATTTGCCGATGTTTCATTTGGATTTGTGATTGGTCGCGAACTGTACATTGCGAGCGCTGGATAAAATGTTATTTCATATAAGAACGTAAGTAGTAAAGTGAAGTGATATTCAGTGTACGAACTAGCCTTTCTTTGTGTGATTTATTTTTATTTTCTAAAGTAAGACTGTGATACGTTATACCGTAAATAGTTAAAGGTTAAAGGTTTTTTGACATATTAGAAGTTTTTTTTAAATTAAAGTGTTAAACAAATTCAGGTAAATTAACCTAAAAAATGCAAGCCATGGGAGAAACTGGAAGTACTGATAAGTCTGATATTGTAAATTATATTTTGCATAATGGGTTTTCATGTATTCCATACGAAGAACAAATTGTTATTAAAAATAAGGGGCGTCCTTTGCCTAAAATGTCCCGGCTTATAAATATTAGTGCGTGTAAGGGAAGTAATAGATCATTTTCAGATAATTGGTACAGCAAGTACTCATGGCTTACCGGGAGTCAAATAAAAAAGAAACTTTTCTGTTGGCCTTGCATTTTATTTTCAACAAATAGGGGCAAACATCAAAATCCGTGGTGTGAATCTGGTTACGATAATTTAAAGAAATTATTTAGGGATTTACATAAACTTGATATTTCGAAAGATCATACTTACAGCCAAATTAAGTTAGATTTATTTCGAAAACAAAATATTTGTGTTTCATTAGATAATGCCCAACGTGAAAATACTATTAAACATAACGAAACTGTAAAAAATAATCACGCAGTTTTACGTCGTTTAATTGATATTGTAATTTTTTTAAGTTGTTAGGAATTATCTTTTAGGGGACACGATGAATCGGAGCATTCGTTAAATCAAGTTAATTATACAGAACTAATAAAAATGTTTAGGAAATATGATTTGTAATTTTATAATTTACTTTCTGATTCGAAGACATTTAGCGGTGTATCTAAAACAATCTAGAATGAATTAACAGAATCAATTAGTTACATTTTGAATAACGTTATTGAATCTGAGATTCAGGAAACCATTTGCTTTTCACTAGAAGTAGATAAAACTACCGACATATCATGTCATTCACAATAATTTATCAATTATTGTTCAATATGCGTTACGTGGTAATATCTATGAGAGGTTTTTAGGTTTTACAGACGTGAGTAAAAGCCATAAGGCAGAGTATATTTTTGGTGTTTTAAAGGACAGATTAAAATATTTTGATATCAAAAATAAATTGGTAGGGCAAACTTATGACGGCGCTGCCGTGATGTCTAATGAATTAAATGGTCTTCAGGCAAAAGTTAAAACTATTGCACCGCAAGCTTTTATCTACTCACTCTCATACGCATAGAATGAATTTAGTTTTGCAGGATACATGTAAAAAAATTAAAGAATGTCGTCTTTTTTTTGCCAGTTTAAGCGGATTTGCTTCATTTTTCTCAATCTCGCCTCAACGGACTAATGTTTTAGAAAGGTTTGTTTCGAAAAAATGCCAACAGTTTGTCAGATGCGATGGAATTTTAAATCTCGGTTAGTTTTCACTGTAGCAGATTTTCGTAACCAGCTTTTGGAAGTTTTTGATTTTATTATTGAATGTGACGATTTTGAAAGTGATGATATCTCGATCCGTGAAGCAATCGGTTTAAAAACTTTATTAAATGATTACTCTTTTAACAAAATTTTAAATAATTTTAAGAACGTGTTTACCCAAACCGATTCGATGTTCAATGTTGTTCAAAATCAGTTAACTGACATTATTCATTCCAAAAATAGAATAACAAGACTGGTGCAAAATCTCAAGAGATTTTCGTAATGATAGTAGATTTCCAGTATATACGCATGCGATGCTTTGGACCCACTTGATATTTCCAAACCCCCCAAAAAAAAGACAAAGGCATGACACAGAAACAGATTTCGGAAAACGAGTACATTTTGAAATTTTGGATACTACTTATTATTATGCAAATAGATACTCGTTTTTCGAATTTTGAAGATTTGCAAATTTTGGACCTCTTGACGATTCAAAATTTAACAGTTACGCCAAAGAATTTCCAAGATATTTTTTAGACAGGTTAATTAAAAATTATCTATTATTCTTTATTAAAATAAAATCAGAAAATCAATAAAAGTTTATATTTATGCTGATTCCAAATATTTTCGGAAGATGGGATAAGTTACAAGATGTATAATTTTATATACTGCAATTCATTACAACAAACTGTTACCGAAATTAATAAATTATTGTCATTAATTCTCTCATTACCACGAACGTCTGCCACAAATGAACGAGATTTCTCTTGCCTCAAAAGAATCAAAACGTATTGTCGAAATACCATGAAACAAGAGACAATGTCAAGCTTGTCTCAAATGTCAATAGAAAAAAAAACTTTTAAAATCTCTCCAGACTCTAATAAATTTTACGATGACGGTATTACCCATTTTGCTACTTCCAAACAAAGTAGACTAGAGTTAATTTATAAACATGTTTAGGTTCTAAATTTATAGGAAAAAAAAAAACAAGACAAAACAAAAACATACTGTCTATGATGATTGAAGTCTTTATTAGAAGATATACCTATCTGAGGGAACAAAAATACCTTGCCGACCTTGTCTCTCAAGCCACTAGCCGCCACTGGCAAAAAAGCAGGCCCCAATAATGGACAACGAATCAGTAGCTATAATTACGAAGATACGATAACAACGTATATATGACTCGGAGAAATAGCAATGAGTTTATTGCATTTCTAATCAAACCAAGACTTGCAGCTAAAAAAAATGCGAAGAGTACCATACGGTAAGCGTCATAAGTTATCTTCTAAACTTGTTTCTAAAGGCAATCCATAAAAGAATTTACAAGTTGTGCGAAATTGAAAATTTTCCGCAACCAGTTGGATTTGAGATACATTAATTTCAAAGTTATACGCAATGGCTGGTTTATTATGATAAAGCGTTTGAAGAAGTAAAATTGCAAACACTAAGAGAAGCAGAAATTTACAACCAAGATATAACAATAATAAGAAACCTTTACTGGAATCAGACTGCAAATTTTAGAGATGAAGGTAAACACACTTTTGTTTTCTCCAATTTTCAATTTCTACAATATTATTTATCGAAGCTTTGTACGAAACTTAAAAAGGCATTTTTCTAAACGTATTCTACCAAATGTGTAGTATATGCGGAAAACCTAGAAGACCTACAAGTCCTTATGAATAAAATCACGTATGGCAGTCAACAATACGGACTCAATATAAAAAAGGCAAAGCTCAGAATAATTGGCAAGAAAAGTATAACGGAAGATCAGCTACGGCAACCAAACCCCAATACAAAGAATGACTACTGCAACTACCTCGGCATCATTATATATGAGGAATACACCAACAAACAGGAAATGAGAACGTGCATCGTAAAAATTAAATCCACCTTTAACCAGATGGGAGAGTTTTTTAAGAGCCACAACCTTTCTCTTCATATAAAAATAACAATACTGCGATGCTACGTCCCCACTGTCTTTTTTTATGGTGTTGAATTGTAGACATTGTGCGAAGACATCTGCAAAAGAAAGCATTTGAGATGTCACTCTATCAAGAATTACTTAATATCCAGTAGATGTCCTCAGAAGAATGAAGAAGAACTGAAAATTACTGACCACGATCTAATTATTTTATCTGAATCATGAATGTGTTGCTTGTGTGAGTCCATATCAAATAGGTAAAGAAATAATAATAAGACTTACTCACAATCAATTTAATTTAACAATCTGACGACCGGTTTCGCTTTCTACAATTTGCAAAGCATCCTCAGGTCCAGATACAAAGTTAAACTAATGCTGCAATAAAATAAACCCAATTAGGGTGGTGTCTAATAAAGATAAAATAAATAAATAAGTTAGTTCATACAAATCATAGTAATTATGCCAATATTACATTTCTGTGGTTTTCAAAATGAATAAATTTGAACATATAAAAGGTATTAACAGACAAGGTAAGACCCACAATGGGTATAAAATAGTAATATTATATTGTAATAAATTAATAAATGAGCAGATAAATAAAACAAAACAAACATTACTTACATGCCGGTACTCTATTAATTGATGGATGGTAGGTCATGGTTGCAAAAATCATGTATTGTTGATTGGAGAAATCATTCTCCAATTCTCCAAGATTCTCCAATCAACAATACATGATTTTTGCAACCATGACCTACCATCCATCAATTAATAGAGTACCGGCATGTAAGTAATGTTTGTTGTGTTTTATTTATCTGCTCATTTATTAATTTATTACAATATAATATTACTACTTTATACCAATTGTGGGTCTTACCTTGTCTGTTAATACCTTTTATATATTCAAATTTATTCATTTTGAAAACCACAGACATGTAATATTGGCATAATTACTATGATTTGTATGAACTAACTTATTTATTTATTTTATCTTTATTAGACACCACCCTAATTGGGTTTATTTTATTGCAGCATTAGTTTAACTTTGTATCTGGACCTGAGGATGCTTTGCAAATTGTAGAAAGCGAAACCGGTCGTCAGATTGTTAAATTAAATTGATTGTGAGTAAGTCTTATTATTATTTCTTTACCTATTTTATCTGAGTTTATCTTTGGTAAGCCGCGGAAAATATACTATTTAATAAAGATATTAATATTAAAAAATAATACCAGCGAGAACAAAAATTATTTTACGTGAAGTGCAAGCAACTACTTAGTAAGAAATGTTAATTTTGTCTTGTGGCTAATACAGAAGAAAATTATTTTTATTGATAAATGTAACTTACCCTGGGATAGTTTTTTTTTACAAACAGGCTGACAGTATAGGTGTAGGTGTCTCCGGAGTTTATTGGACACGTCACTCCCAACTCACAAGCGTTAGGATTTGGTAAGTTAAATTTGGATTTAATTAAACCAACTTTACCTATGACGACTGTTTTAAGGGTTTTAGAGTTGGTATCTAAAATAGAATAATAGTACTTTCTTATTTATAAATATTAATAAGATATGACTTTCATACAAATATTAAACTAAGAGCTAGTCTTGCCATAAGTATTAATACAAGGTATTTAACAAAAAAAATTTAACTAGTTTGATTTAATTTACTCCCAAAACTATCAAAAAATTATTCAAAATGAATGCTATTTGCCTAAATACAGCGTCGAAGTAAGGTGAGCCATTCACCGATAATTGCTGTATAAGCGGCATTTATAGGCACATTGTTCACAACTTCTACCAGAGCCAGTTTTAATTATTCTAAGTGTGCGTTTCTAACGAGGCGCCGACCCTCACTCTGACCATGGGATAGGATCATATTATCGATTTTAGTCTAATTTAGTCTCCATAATGAACGCACCCTTAGGTACCATCCGTCCTGGGTACCAGATACATCAAAGATCTTCGCCGACATGATATCCGTGTTCAGCGATCCTCACAATCCCGGAGTAGCAAAATTAAAAGTATTTAATTCAATAATTGCTAAGTACAGTTTTTTTAAATTAGCAACTCTAAAAAATGCATTTTTCAAATTAAATTTTTTTATTTCTTTATTATTGTATTCCATCCATATGTAGCTGGTTTATATCCGGATCGAAGGACCAATATATATTTTGAATGTATTTATAATTTTGAATTGTTTCCAATGTTCTGTGTCTGATTCTGATCGATCGTTGATTAAAAAATAAAATAGTTTGATAAGAATGATTTGATTTACTACTAAAACTACCAAAAAATTATTCAAAATGGTCGCTATTTTCAAAAATACAGCGTCGAAGTATGATAGACCATTCATTAATTATAGCTGTATAAACGATATTTATAGGCACATTGTCCACAACTTCTACCAGAGCCTGTTTCGATGACTCTTGATTATGGTGACGTCTTGTACAGAACATCTCCTCTTAGAATAATTGTAATTAATTGTCGAGTAGAATAAGAATTAACTACTAATAAGTTTAGGTATATGATTTTCAAGCCATTGGTGAGCCCTTTTCGCTTATGCGTAGGTACATAGTGTTACTGGAATATCCATGGAATATTTTGGAACATGTGTGATTTAGAAGCTTTACTATATTTGTTTTGCTGATAATTTTTCGCCGCTGTTTTAACGCCATTTTCCAAAAATGTAAAAAAGTGGCGACTCGTTTGATCCTTGGCACCAGTTCGCGGCCTTCATTGGATGACGGTGCATAAACTCTACCGTGTTCCTTATTGAAAGTTTTCTTCAGACGAAATTTTATTTATGCGTAAAGGAAATTTCTTTGTAACGCCCTTTACCGTACAACGATAACATGCGTCTTGATTAATTTTTCTTTATTGCTTTAATAAAATTGTAGGGGATTGTGCTGTTTGTCGTTTGAAAACCCCAAGTCTCAAGTCTTGTTGGATAAGCAACTAATGATTTTCGGCACAATATCCATTTACCAAGCAAAAATTTTTTTGTTTTCGAGCAGGATTTTTATTAATTTTTGACTTACCAGCATTACTAGCATGTGGCGCACAAGCCACGCAAGCCCGTCCGAATCTTTTATGGTCACTTACTCTACTCGTATCCAAAAATAGTTTATTATCATCATTCTGGCTTTACAACCCTACGTGAATCCTAGCCTCCTTAAGAATTTCTCTTCACTCGTCCTTATCCATTACCTTTCTCCGCCAAGCACATAGTTCCATATTTCTCATGTTTTCATTGATGTTATCAAGGAACCTTGTTCTGGATCTTCCTATTATTCTCTGACCAATGAGTTTATCAGAAGCATTTTTCTAGCTGAGTCATTTTGTTCCATCCGCATTACATGCCCTATCTACCTTAGATGTCCTATCTCAATATGTTTCATGATATCTGGTTTCTGGTATATTTTATTCCGTTTGAAGTTATACCGTCTTCTTCACACTCTATTGTCATTCACTGCTCCATAGATTCGCCTTAGTACTTTTCTTTCGAAACATCCCTGATATAATTGTGGATTTAGGGAGGAGATAAAACTGAACGTAAAAAGAACATTTCACGGAACAACTTTAACATCAATAAGAGATAATTAAGAAGAACGTGGAGATATTTATAACAGGAGATTTTAACGGCAGAACCGGAAGAAAAGAAAACGATAAAGTAGTGATTGAAACGTCTGATTGAATTATGTGAACTAAACAACCTAAAAATCACCAACGGATTCTTTAGACATAAAAATATTCATAAATGTACATAGACGCAAAAGACACGAAAGCAGAAATCGATGATAGACTACATAATAATTAAACAAGATACCACAATAAAGATCAAAGATGTGGTGCGGGTCAGAAGAGGAGCAGAATGTTGAACGGACCATAAACTAATGACAACAAAAATGGGTATTAATCGGAAACATCACAAGACCCCCTCTACAAAAGAACCGTTGAACACTATAAGAGAAAGACAATACAATATAGAACTACTCCAAGAACAAGCAATAAGAGAACTATACCAACAACGTCTAGACCAAAAATAAATAGAATTTAGATACGGCAACATGAAAAAAATATACCAGCATATAAAGGTGGGTATAAAACAAAACAGGCGAAGACAAAGCAGATCCCCACAACAAGAAATAAAAATAACAGATGAGAACGGCCATAAAAACTATTAAAAATAAAAAAGTACCGGGACTAGACGCATCTCACCTAAGATTATAAAATATGGATCAAAAAAATTACAAAAGATGATACAATGGATATTTCAGAAAGTAATAAATGGAAAACAGCTGCCAATGAAATGGACGGAGGCATATATGATATATATATTTAAGAAAGGAGATAGACAACGATGCAAAAACTACAGAGGAATAAGCGTAATATAATTAATAGGAAGATTATATGGGAAGATACTGCAAGAAAAGATAGAGCAAGTGATAAAAGGCAAAATCGGAAAATACTATAACTGTTTACCAAGATCAGAACTATGGAAGGCAATGTACAAATTAGAAATACAGACGGAACTCATAGAAGCTACAACAGCTCTGTATAAAGAAAATAAAGTGTCCATTAAAGTGGGAACAAGAATCACAGGAAATTTCATCACAAAAAAGGGCTGCAGGGTTGTTACACATCTCCAACCCTATTCAAAATATACTTAGAGAAAGCCTTGACTACATGGAAAAGAAAATTCGAAGACATGGGAGTGTTGGTACAAAACGAATACCTATATACCTTTAGCTTTGCAGACGATCAAGTAGTGATTATATATGTAGTAGTGTTGTATTTTCCTACTATCCGTTCCAGTGACATAGTACTGTGGAAAATATTTTATACGCTGCATTTTAGAAGCGTAATTCCTCTGTGGTTAGAACATTCAAAGAGTCTTTGAATAACTTAATAGTACAAAAGACAAAAACACGTGAAGTATTTAACAGTTTGAGTAATTAAAAAATACAAGCTCTTTATATTCCACACTTATGAAGAGCAATGACAGCTATACGGTTCTATTTGTCTGTCAACTTTACCGTAACAGCTTAAAATAAACTGGAATGTTTTGGCGTGTTTAAAGTGTACATGTCAACAATCAGTAATTTGTAATTTTACAATCTGCGTTTACAATTGTATCAATATTTATGACAGGACCTTAATATATACATAAATTAAAATATTTAAAAATAACCACAAAAGGAACTATTAATTTTATATCATGTAATATTTAATAATTATTGTAAGGGAAGATATGGTAAGTGGTTTTTTTTTATTTAGAAAAAGTGTTCGTTATAATTCTACCAAAAGTTCCGGAGATCAGTAGTCAATCATAATTTTTGTTTAGAATCATTTCTAACCAAACTGAAAGACAGATAATTTCGGCATAATGTCGATACGGGAATTAAATTTCATTGAAAATCCCAAAAGTGTGTCTTGGTAGAAGTGGCTAATATCTATACCATTAATTTAAAATTAAATTATGAAGTTTTTGCAACAGATACGATTTAAAAATTTTTAAAAATCATAAAATTTTCATTAAAGAAAAACTTCATTATAAACAATTTTGTCTTCAGTTAGGTAAATAAAAAAAACTCTTAAAAAGGAAAAGATTTCAAGAAAAGTTTTTTTAGGGATTTTTATTTAAATCAAAAAAGAATAGCAACAAAAAAATAGAATATAAAGTTTTACATCAATGTTAATTAACAAACAATCACTAATTTTAACGGCAGCGTTCATATTATTTAAACTATTGATTTAGTACTGTCAAATGCATTAGTAAACTCTATAAAATACTACGTTAGACGAAATTATAATACTAAAAGTGCGCTCTCTTGTATCTATATAAAACATACTAGAAACCTCTGGTCAAGTACAGGGCCTAGAGTGACTAATCGAAGATTTGGAAAGGTATATACATCTGATGTTTTCATTTATTTACGTTTCATTTAGCTTTAATTATGTTAACCGATGATATTCCTATTATCTTAGCTTCTTCTCCTTAAATCTGCTATAAATCCAAGCAGGTACAATTTTAATTTAAAAGAAAGGAAATTGCAATATCTCTGACATGTGAGAGGCAAAAGATACAACATCTTGAGACTGATAATTCAAGGAAAAATAGATGGTAGAAGAAGCATGGGAAAAAGACGCGTTTCCTGATTGTCGAACCTGAGAGAGTGGTTTGGTTACAACTCAAGGCAACTTCAGAACAGCTGCCTCGAGGGTCAGAATAGCCATGATGATTGCCAACCTTCGTCGCAGGGATGGCACTTAAAGAAGAAGAAGATAATTTTAATCTTCTTACACACTCTTGATCTTGATCACAGTCTTGGAATTTTTAATTATCTTAATAGATTACTTAATTTAGTCACGTCACATTTTTCCTGTTACATAATGCGTGACATATCCTTTATCCCATAATCACCAACTGCAAACAAATATTCTTCCAACTTTGTATTTTCCAGAGCAGGGAAAAACTATTGTTATCCAATTTTAACTATTATCATCGATTAGTTTTAAAACTTAGTTTGTCCCTGCCCCTTTAATTGTTGACTAAAGGGGCAGGATTCTTATGCAATTTTTTGCAAAAGTCTTATCACTATGTAATTTTTATTTTTTAAACCCAACCTTCAAAAGATTGGGTTTTAATTTTTTGCAACAAATTAGCATTTGAAATGTGCCTAACAAACGCTTAATTTAAACTTATAAATTTCCAAACAATTGCACATCACTAGATATACTCCTTTCAATAAGACGGTATTGGGTGAAATTTGTAGCTGAAGTTGCATAGTGGGGCAAAAAATATTAAATTTTAAAAAATGAATCTCAATTTGTACTACAATAATTAAAAAGTGGCAACCACACTCGTTTTACATTGAGGGTACAAAATATATTTATATTTATTAAACAAAATATTAAATATACTACAGGAGAAGGGAGCAATTTTTTTTGATGGGTTCAAAAACATGAGTATAATCGTTTTATTGTACCAAAAATGTTAACCAAACTTACTCGATTTAAATGTCGCCATCATTGATGCGTTTGTTCCCCTCTTTAATGGGCATCGGTCTTCTCCTTGACAACCAGCTAACTCGATTTTGACTATTTCTCCAGTCTCGGATCCTAAAAAAGATAAAAATTGAAAATACTGTATAACAACGAGTAAACTAAATATTGTGTGTATAAATTTATTATGGTTAATTACCGAAATTAAAAACAAATTTAAAAGTAGGTGTAAAAGCTTGGTAAACACTCAAACTGATTGACTAAATATAGCTTCGTACGGTAAAATGGCGTCAATTTTATTAAAATCTCTCTTAATAGGCTATTGATTATGTACTTTAAAAAGAAACAAAATCGTTAAAAGGGTTTTATTATTTGATATGGTCAATGGATCCCCAAATAGACACCCCATTTAAAGTGTACATTTTTAAGGAGGCTTGAATTAGTCCCTATGCAATAGGATGCATAGGAACTAATTATGGACATTTAGGTAAATTTTATGTACTTTTCATATATATATATATATATATATATATATATATATATATATATATTTATATATATATATATATATATATATATATATATATATATATATATATATATATATATATATATATATATCGGAAAAAGAAGTACGACCGTCAATCCAATATATATATATATATATATATATATATATATATATATATATATATATATATATATATATATAAGGATCACTCAGACGAGTGGTGGGTTCTTATATCGGTCTCTAGGTGGAGAAATAAAAGACAAAGTTGATAGGCTACTGTATCTATTTTGAAGACGTTTCGCTTTCGAGTTTTGAAAGCATCATCAGTTCATCTAAAAAATTTTACAATATGATCAATTTAATATCATTGTGTGGTTCTCATAATGACTAATGACCTAATAATCAGTCAGCAACAGGAGCAAGTCAGTCGTCTATTGTTAAAATTTCGAAAAAAACGAGAACCTCCCTCCTTACCACTTCACTCCTGTTCAAAATTTACTTCCAACAAATCTTCCACGACGGTAACAGTTTTGCCAACCTATTCTGAATAAACATCGTAATGACAGACTCTTTATTAAGAATATTATGTTCACCGACGAAGCAACTTTTACCAGACGAAGGGTTTTTAATTGGCGAAATAGTCATTATTGGGAAGAAGAAAACCCGCATGCTATTAAAGCTAGACATTTTCAGCATGAGTTTTAATTGAATATTTGGTGTGGCATTATAGGCGACCTAATACTAGGGCCTTATGTTCTTCCTCCGAATTTAAATGAAGATTCCTATTTATTCTTTTTGGAAAATACTCTTAGTGATATTTTAGATGATCTGTCACTGGATGTAAGAAGAAAAATGTGGTTTATGCAGGATGAAGCGCCACCTCATTTTTCATTAGCTATTAGAAATCATTTTAATAAAGTCAACGATGGATTGGCAGAGGCAGTGATTTTCAATGGCCACCAAGAAGTCCTGAGTCCAACCCGTTTTTGATTTTTGGGGACATATGAAGTCCTTAGTTTATGCCAATGAAATTAATTGACGAGACGAACTTTGGAGATACATTCAAAATGCAGCTAATCTTATAAGAGGACAGAATAATATTTTTTTTAAGTTCGAAAATCCTTTATAAAGAGAATTAGAAAAGGCATGGAAATCGGAGGAGACCTTGTAGAATATTTAGTTTCAGTTTTTGTGAGTTATTTTAAGTTAAAGTGTGTTTAGTTTTGATTTATCGTCAAAACGGAAACCTTACGTTAGTTGCAACTTTGTTTATTAGTTTGGTATTTGATAGTGGAATTGTAAATAAAATACTATTTCTTGTCTGAGATTATGCCTCTGTGCCAATTTTGATAGCAATTTATAAATATACAGGGAAACTATTAGCAAAAAACGAAAAACAAAAATTAACTTTAACACCCTGTATCTTTTTTCTTAGCAACATTTTATTAAGGCATATTTGGCCCAATAGCCATATTTTGGTCCAAATAACCTGTCCTTAGTCTATGTCCCAATAGTTATGACTCACCATGTATAAATATGCACCGGCCCGCAGGACCTGTCTCGCACCCGAGTAACAATTTGTAATTTCTGTGCGTTACCGGCCCCCAAAGCCCGGTACATTTTTTCCTTTAGAAATGTTTAGAATCTTAAGACAAGTATATTGTTGTTTATAGCATTAAAAAAACGAATATTAACGAAGATATGCCTTTCGCAATTTTTAAAAGTTTGCAGTTTCCACACACCGCACTTTAATAATACCGAACACTGGTCCCAGGGGACCGGTAACGCAGTCAACCTGTTAACACAACAAAGTTATTAAGTTAAAAATTTAGTTTTAAAATGTTTTAAAGTCTTAAAATAAAACAGAGCAAAACAAAGATATGTACAGAAAAGTTGAAAAAGAACGGACAAAAGATTTAAGGTGCAAAAACATCATGAGCCGAGAAAAGAGCTTATTAGTTAGTTTAAAAAGATCAATGCTTATTTTTTAAATAAATGTACTACTATGAGAATCAGTGATATAACTGCAGCAGTTGTATTAAGGAAATCAAAAATTTCTATCGACGGAAACAAAGAAACATTGAAGGGACATTTATATTAAAATATTCTTTAGATCAATAGAAGTAAATAAGTACTATACCGCAATCTTCAATATAAACTATAGATATATTGGGTAAACACAAATAAGAAACTAAAAACGAAATCACGGCACTGACAAATACCACGAGGCAATACATGCTTACAAATGATAAGAAAATAATCTTTAAAGCAATAATGACGCTTCACGAAATGAATACTGATAATAGTTTTATCCGGACAAATGGTTAATAGTATATTACATAACGAGAGTTGTAAGAAGCTTATTACATGCGAGTAAAAAAGTTGCGCGCGAGCCGTGTAGCGGCGAGCGCAGTAATTTTACAAGCATGTAATAAGCTTACAACTCAAGTTGTGTACTATACTTTTTCTACCATTATTTTCGTTTATAAAAATAAAAATTAAATTACCACTATATTTACACTGACAGATTAATAATTTTTAATCTGTCAAAATAACGTCTGTTTATTCGTTTCCATGGTAACTCGACCAACTGACTTACGAGGCTTATGTGATATTACACATTTTTTATAAAACTGAAGCGTAATTTTTTTTATTACGTGCTAGTCATTACGTGTCAGTATCTGTTATGATGTATTTACTTAGCATCCAAATAGTAGGTAATATACAATTTACTAGTAAGAAAATGGTTAAAAAATATTACAAATACGATATATTTTTAATTACTGTGAAAAATTATAATCTATTCAAATAAAAATATCTCTTTGGACTATCACAATATTTTATTGAGAGAACTGTCAATAATTTCAGCTCCGAATAAAAAGTGTTTCCTGTTGGTTTATGCCAACAACTAAAAACCGAATTGTTACTAAAAGTAAAATAAAAGTGATTTTCCAATTAAAGAGAAGAAAAATTGTTAGTAAATAGTTTATACTTATTCAAATTTCAAAGGATCCACTTCTATTTTTTAAAATGCCGATAGATCAAACTAATTATCAAAAATTAGTAGCGTCTCTTGCTTTAAAACTTTCCATTGAAGAAGATAAAAAGTAAAAATGAATAGAAAATTAGAAACTAACTCAGCAGTCATCAAGCAATTATTAACATCTTGTTAATAATAAGTACTGAATCTCCAACAACATGCTATGCACTACAGCAACACTACAAGCATAAAAACTTTACTGCAGACACACAAATTCGTTTTAATGCAAAAAAAGAGAGATTTAAAGATGTATTTCTTCTGCTAGTAGACTAGTGATATGTGCCCTAGCATTCCAAATACTATAATCAAATAAGAGCTCAAAAAATTAGAGAAAAGAGCTTATTAGTCTTCAAAATGCAGATATTTTCATTTGCAAAACAAATACAAATAAAAGTAAAATATTTAATGGAATATACAAGGCACAAAAATACCAGTAGAGTGGCTCAAATCGGAGTTCGTACCATTGCCTAAAAAACCAGGAGCAAAAGTGTGTGAAGACTATAGGACCATAAGCCTAATGAGCCATCTGCTAAAGCTGTTTTTAAAAGTCATCCACAAAAGAATTTACCGAAAATGCGAGGAACAAATTGCGGCCAATCAGTTTGGATTTGTGAACGCCATCGGTACGAGAGAAGCTTTATTTAGCGTGCAGGTATTGTTTTAAAACATGTAGAGATGTTAGCTGTGATTTTTTTGCATGCCTGAATGACAACAGAAATGCTTTAGATAAAGTTAGGTATAAACTAATGGTGAATAGGCTAAAGAGGACAGCAATTGACAGACGAGACATACAAATGTCTCGTCTGAGAAAAATGATATAATATTGTGATATTCAAAAACTTAGTGCGCCAAGCAATTAATTAGCTAATTAATTAATTAATTAATTAATTAAAATTATTTAAATGATATGATTATGATTCTATCACACTTTTTAATTCTCTTATCTCAGGGTTATATTCATGCTTCAATATCTATGCTTTACATCTGAAAGGTAAGGTCCAAAGAATACCGAAATAATAAAAAACATATATGATATAACATTATATATTGAAGTAAAAATAATGAAATAAAATTCACACTTAAATGTTTTCAATAAACAATATCTCATATAATGATTCTCAAAATTTTGTTCTACGTACGTGAACCTTCAAAATTAATGGTACAAACAATATTAGTTAAAATCTCAAAATCCCAATTATTATTCTAAATCTCCTAATCAAAATATTTATATCTTTTCTAAAGTAATTGTAAAAATTGTGTCATCAATAAAAGAAAAAACTGTAGAAAAACAAAACCGTCTCTCTCTCTCTGATGATGAGTGGTCCAAATCCTTGTTCCTTGTAGCCTATACTATCTATTCTTAGCAGCTCCCTAGGTAATCAGCAATCTTACAACAAATTGTTGCAAGTTTATCGTCCTTAATGATCTCTTTTAAATGCACGAATCGTTCAAATTATGCTAGCCCCTTCTTCTCTCGATAAACTGAATCTCTCGTTGGCCTGAGTAAAAAATGACTCTTGGAATATTTTCTTTTTACGATAAACTGAATCTCTCGTTGGCCTGAAC